GGTCCTGGCCAGCTCCTTCAGCGCTGCGTCCCTCCTGCTGGCCATGGCCCCTCCCCCACCACTGTCCTTGCAGTCCTGAAGTCGCGGTGTCCATCTCTCCAGACCATGTGCATTTCCTGGTGCTCGTTTTCTAGCTCCTCACCCGACTGTTCACTCCTTTAGGGCAAATGCAATTGGAGCAAACACTCCAAACGCAGGGTGCAGTACCTGGCACGGAGGAAGGGACCTCGTTCAGTGTAGCATGACTAGACGGCCGGGTCTGGGCGCTGGGAAACATGCTTGACACCCCACTCTAGGCTGACATGGTGATTTTCCGCAATCGATGTCCTGCTTCTCTGTAGAGATGAGTCGGGGGCTGGGCTGCTATTGAAGGGGAAGAACCACTGGATGGAGGCCTCAGCAATGTGCCATCCTGGGTTTTTCTCAACTAACGGTAGTTGGACCCAGGAGGTATGGAGCCTGCTGGGTGGCAGGGGAATGGAGGAAGCCACAAACCCAACTCTAAACCCAGGTTGTGAGCGGGCAGGGGTAAGAGAAGGTAACCCAGAGGGCGTGCACCAGCAGGATGTTTTGAAATAAAAGAGAAACTTCGATACGGGGTCTACAGGGCAGCTGGCAGCCCAGTGTCCAGCCGTGTGTCCCTTGCAGCTCTGTGTCGGGTGGGATGCTGAGGCTGCTCTGGGCTGGGTCGTAGGGCACAGGTGGTCCTGCTCCGGAGTCAAACACGCGTGGGGCTGTGGGCCACGCACCTGGTTTGGAGCCAGAGGACCAGAAGTGGAGGCTTGGCTTTGGAAATGACTAGTTACGTGACCTCGGGGTCATCATGAACCCTCCCGAAGCCTGTCTCTTCCTCCGAACAATGGTACGCGACACCGTCCGTAAGCGCCCATCACACGGCGTCCCGGTTGAGATGAGATGAGTAAGAAGGTGGCCGGAGCGGCAAAGCTCCTGCAGCACCGTGGCTGCGTCGGTGTACACACGAGTACCCAGCACGCACACCGGGGAAGGCTTTCCCCGGGGTGCTGTAAAAAAAGAATGGCTCTGGGGGTGGGGAGGCCTGGGTTTGAATTCTGCCTTCTGCAGACCTGGTGTTCTGCCTGAAAAAATAGTGATAAACATTCCTGTTGCATAAGGTTGTTGGGTAGGGATTATTTCATGGAAGACTTCTAGGTTGGATCCTGGCATGTGGCTGATTCTCTCATTTCATTCTTTCAATCTAATAAGGGTTCGCTGGGCACTGACTGCGCCAGACTCCGTCCCAGGAATCAAAGATGGGAGTCGTGGTGCTCACGGGGCTCCCACTCTGGTCGAGGTGGAGACACAGCAGATGAGCACGTGCCGTGTCAAGGGGTGTGAGCGCTGAGGACGGGGGCAAGGTCATGGGAGGGGGAGTGCTGGGTGTGGCCTCCCTTTCCATCAGTGCCCACCACTCTACAGAAGCAGTTCCGAAGGAAGCGAGGCAGCGAGTTTACCGGGCGAAGAGCATTCTAGGAAAGGAACACCCAGCGCCAGCCAGGCCCCCAAGGTGGGAATGCGCTCTGTAGCGTTGAGGGATGCCGAAGGGAGCCGGGAGGATGACGCACACTGCGCCAGGGGCAAGTAGCCAGAGTGAGGTTAAGAGAAAATAGAGGCCGCATCAGGCAGGACCTTGGAGGTCATTGTAAGGACTGTGGCCTTTACTCTGCATGAGATGCGGCCACAGGGTGGGGCTTTGGTAGAGGAGCAACAGGATCTAGTTTTTACTGTGAAGGGACGGCTCGGGCCACTGGGTTCTCACAAATTACAGGGGCAATGGCAGAGCAGGGGGCCACCTCGGGGTTATCATAGGAATCCCGGGCCGAGATGATGGCATGGATCGGAGAGATGGCAGAGGGTGCTTGGATTCTGGGTGCACTTCGGAGACAGGGCCCATGGTTTACTGGCAGACCGCTGGTGGCGTGGGAGAGGGCAGAGTCCAGAGGGACTTTGGGCTGCGGCTGCTATTTACTGAGGTGGTAAAACCACAGTGGGGGAGCATGTTTTTTGGGGGATGGGGGGACAGGTGGAGTCAGCAGCTATTTTGGATACGTTAAGAGTGCAAAGCTATGAGATATCGAAGTGAAGATGTCAAACAGACCACATGGGCTACACCAGTCCACAGTCCAAAAGAAAAGCGCAGGCAAGAGGTATAACACGGGGCTGGAGGTAGACAGGGAGGGGGCATCAGCACACAATGACACTGGAAGTGAGGCACTGGCTTCCAGTCCAGCCATGTCCACACCCCCTTCCTCTCGATTCCCCACAGCAGCACTGAGGCGAACTCGAGGCAGAACAGGACGCAGGCTCACAACAACGACCCAGTGGCCACACTGGTTCACAAGGGAATGAGCAGAGAGGGAGCTACGAGAGGACTGGTCTAACCAAGAATAACTGTGCAGAGGGGGTGCATCTGGGACTGGGGTGTGGATGGCAGCCATGGCACTGGTCCCCCCATCCCGGACTTGGGGGGCACACTTCTCTGCCACTCCTGCCAGGGCCAGTGAGCGCATGTCTACAGACAGTCTCCCCTTGCACGTGGACCACGGAAACATCTCCCTGAAACCCTCAGAGGAAAATGCAATGAGAGGAGTGAACACACATGGGTGGGGAGGGGTCCCAGTCCTCTGGTCAAGGTGCCTGGTTGGAGGGGCTCAGAAACTAAGGACAGAGGTGGGGAACTCCCAAACACACTGCCAGGAGAGGACTGGGAAGACCGAGGCAGCTGCCTGACCAGGCAACCTCTTATAATGGGCTGGAACAGTCAGAGAACGCAGACTTGGGTCGTGCTCCCATTGGCCACAGTCCATAGCCACCACCAGCGGGAGCCCCCTTCCCAGCCCCCGTGGATGGCTTTTCCACGGCTGTGGAAGGGGATGGGAAGTAGCCAGGGCCTGCTTCCTCCCACCCTTCTGGGATCAGCCCCAGGCTCCTGGGATTGTAATAGTTCTTCCTCTTTTTCTAAAGTCAGAGATGGAGGGGATACATTTTCAGGACTAGTCCAAAGAACCAGAGCTGTGAGAATATAATCTCTTCTGCACACAGACCCCCGAGCCCTACCCTGCAGGGCAGTGTGAGAGGAGGCACATGGATGGACGAGGGCTGGGGCCAATGGCCATGTGCCCCCCACTGTACCCAGCTGATAGGGCCCCATCTCCAGCCAGTATCCTGGAGAGGCTGCAGCCCGAATACAAGAACCTTCGTTTCCTTGTTCTGCTTCTTGTTTCTGTTGTGTTTGTGAATGTCTTGCAATAGCTCAGCATGTTAGCCCAGGAACACACATGGGTATCACTTATACTAAAATGACTATGCTGACTGATCTTTAGCCAATGAGGGGCCCAGTCGACAGTGTTTGAGGGCCCCTATTTTAGAGGAGAAAAGCCGAGGGCCAGTGGGGACAGCGGTATCTTGCTGGCACGCCTGTGTGCCTGGTCTGGCTCAGGAACCCGGCTGCAGCCCCGCCAGGTAACTCTCGAGCGATGCGTGATGGACCAGGGCGAAAGCTCTTCATCCTGGGCCATGAGTCGATGGGACGGGAACTGATGGCGACGTTGCGTTCTGCCACGTCTTCCCCCCCACACACACCCAGCACAGCTCTTTCCACACACACACACACAAGCATATAGGTTACGTAGACCATGTATCTGCATGTGTAGTAATATCAGTAATACTAAATACACAATATTCTCTTCTCACACCACCTCGCCTCCTGAGACAGCCAATGTTCGTTGCTTGCTGTGTATCTTTCTGCACCTTCATCCTTTCAGATAATTCACTAAAAATCACACTCACATATGCACAGACAGACACCGGTCGGCTGTTTTTTGGAGTGTGAATGCTACCTTCGCTTCACACTCCTCGGCCTTCTTACTCCTTGTTTCCCATTTAACGGCGCAGTCTGCCGCGGGCAGTCTGCGAGCCAGCACAGACGGGTCAAGTTCATTCTCTGCACCACCTGTGTAATATTTAATAGTCTGTGTGGATCTTGATTTATTCAGCCATTTCCCTGCTAATGGACATTGGAGCTGCCTCCAATGTATTGCCGCAATAACCCACACTGCGGCAAATACTCAGGTGTAGCATGACGTGAAAGCAGGACCTCTGTCACGGTGAGAGAGACCCCCTTAGTGAGACAGCACTCGCGGGAGCAGACTAATTCATGGCAGCCGTGACCCCACGTGCATGAATGGCTTTGTTGTTGCTAACTCCAGCTATGGCCTTGGGCTTGACAGACCCGGATGGAGCCCCACGTTCAGGGGTGTGTCCTCCCTGAGAACGTGCACTCAGCCACCAGGTTTGACAGCCCACGGGCCTGTCCCTGTCAAGAGCGCATTGACCGGGAGGGCTGGGTGGGCTGGGCTGGGCTCCGTTGGCTTCTTCCAGGGTGAGCCACACCTGAGTGAGGGGCGATGACGTCGGTCAGGGCAGGAAGAGTGTGTCCGGGCCGACCAAGGGCCTCACAACTCATTCCCACTGGGCTGTGCAGACGACAACCCGCACAAGGCTGCTCTGCCAGGGGCACGGAACCTGCTTTCCCAGTAAGAGAACCAGCTCGGAAAGCTGGGCTGGGTTTCCCTGCCAGGACCGGGAAGCAGCGCCCTCTGTCCACCTTCCTGTCCTCCTCCCGGTCTCAGTGGGACAAGCACCCTTCGTGGGACGGAGGTGTCTGCAGGCTGGACCCTGGGGCCACAGAGCTCCCCGCTCGGCCTCTGCTCACTGTTTCCCACGGTGAGTCACTCACAGAGGCCGTCTGTGGGTGTGGCTGTGCCTGTGCTGCTCCCAGCTCTGCACACGTCATGTAAGGTATCTGTGCCCCAACCCCAGGACCACACCCTAGTGAGCCACTACACAGAGAAATTTACTCAGCGATTGTTTTGCAAATGAACAAGTAAGGCAATGACTCTTGAACAAGATCAGACCTTGAGGACCAGAGCCAGGGCCACAACCCTGCAGGGGACCCCGAGGCTCCCCCACACCCCGCCTACCTTCACAGCCCTCGCTCTGCTGATGAGTCCGTCGTCCTGAGAGCTCCCAATGAGCAGATCGACCTTCGCCTGCGGAGCCCTCTGCAGTGCTCTGGCCGGAGCCTCTCGGAGGGACTGGCCGTCGACCACGGGACCCCAGTAGTGGAAAGGGCCGCTCACGGCCAGCAGCTGTGTCGGGTGCAAAGGAATGCCATTGTTTACACGGCTTTGTTCTTTAGAGCAGAAATGGGACTGACATGACCGGCAGCGTTGCTCCGCCTAACCGTGTGGAACACCGGTGCTGGTTGTCCACTCGAGCCTCTGCAGGGGACCCATGGCACAACGGCCAGAACGACAGCAGGCAGGACACCAGGTGACAGTGCCGGGGCGGGAAGCTGAGTCTCACTCTGAGCAATGACTGGTCCCCAGGGCCCCGCACTGAGGTGAGGGCACCCACAGGAAGATGGGGAAGCCTGAGCCCAGGGGTGCCGTACAGCAGGAGACAGCGGTCGGGGGGAGGGGTGGCCAAAGGTGGGACACGCCAGGGAGATGGATGGGCTTTGGCTGCTATCCGATTGGCCTCCACCTGGGGGGCTGGGGATCAGACCCACCCGGGGTCTGTACGCCCAGGCTCACTGCCAAAGGCATCTGGCCATCAGCTCTAACGACCACAGCAATCCCTGCTCGTGTCCCCTTTGTTCATGGCAAGGACGGCCGGGGACCGTGGGCAGGATCTTTGCAGGCAGGAGAGGGGAGCCCTCGGCTGCCCAATCCAAGGGGCAGGGTGGCCCCGCTCCACTGCAGCGGGGCCGTGTCACTCGGTACGCTCAGTTGTGACTTGCCGCCACGGTCTCCACACTGGCTTTCTCCTTCTGCTCCACAGGGCCCGCATCACTAGTCCCACTTCACAGGTAAAACCCCAGGTGCAGACAGACCTGTGGGCTACCGGGGCCCACACTCAGTGCACCATATACTGGGCCGTGCATCGCGCCCGGGGCAGGGAGTGCGCATGGTAGCACAGGCTGGCTGTCAACCTAGTGAGTGGCCTTAGGTGAGCCACGTTCTCTTTACAGGCCATTTGTAAAATGTCCCTTCCCAACCTGCACGCCAGTGCCCACCTTGGTCTGGGCGTCATTGAGGACATCGGCGGGCTTCTGACGGAGGCAGGACGCCATTTCCTGGGTAGACGAGGTGGGGCAGCTGACCTCCTTTGCCAAAGCAACAGCCTGCCGCTGAGCCGTCTCCTGGCTGATGACAGCGGCGGGGGAGAGCGGGGAGCCGCCCTGAAAGAGAGAGCAGACACGGCTCACAGTCTGATACCCCTTCCCTCCTGCTCATCCGGGAGACCGCAGGGCACAACCCAGAACATCCATACTCAGGGGCCAGGACCCACCGGAGACGCCCACGGACACTCGGGAGGTCAGAACTGATCCGTATGACATCAACACCCTGTGCAACCTTGAAGGAATGTCTCCCTCCATCTCAATTTCCTTCTCTGTGAAGTGCGGGCACCGGACAGGGTGAGGGGTGAAGTGTAGTCTTCACTATGAACTAAGGTTGCACACTGAGGAGAGGGCTGACAGTGGCTGACCAGGGACCAAGGTCAGGATGGCGTCATCGCACCCTGCCACTGCTCCTGGGGGCCCTGTACCAGCAAGCTTTCCCGGCTCAGTGAAGACAGACTTGGACTTTATGACAGACGCCCGCCTCGAAGACAACAGAAACGCTGACTGCAGCAGTGAAATCGCTGTGTCTTCTGAAATTGCAGGCTGCTGGGAGCATGTCCTCTCTAAGAATACAGGCAATGGGAGCCAGGCTCCAGGGAGAAACTAGAGCACAGAGAGGCCCAGAATCTTGCCCAGCATCACACAGCTCGGTGAGTGGCAGAGCCGGGTCTCCAGCACAAGCAGCCTGCCTCTGGGTCACTCACGCCGCCCCCGCACTCTGCCATGGGCGTTTTTATATCCAGAATGACATGGTATATCTTTGAGCCAAACTGGATGCTTTCAATCCAATGTAAAGAGAGCAGGAATCTGGCTGACCCCACCCCAGGCCCCACCCCAAGTTACAAATACCAAAACCCAAACGAAACACCTGGAACTCAGCACTCGGTTTCCTCATGTGTGGAATGGGCAGAGCTGAGGGTGCCTCTCTTGCTGGGTTGTTGAGAGGATCGTTGAAATAGGGCCAAGGAAAGTCTTCTGGAAATTGTTAAGTGAGGTACCCATGCTCACCTGGGTCATTCCTATGACCTTAATGCCAAAAGGACAAAACAGAGGGGAGGAGACCCATCCTCCCAAGTACCCAGATGGACATATATCCTGGAACAAGGGGGTGCGGGCCAGCCCTGCCCTGGAAGTTTCCAGTAGCCTTTGGGCTTTAGAGTCAGGACTGAGGGTCATGGGCAAAGCATGGACATTTGCATGGAAACAAGCCATCCTGAGGGCAGCCCTTGGAGGAGCGGACACCTAAAGGGCCAGGAGAGAGCCCAGGACCAGTTCTGGCCACCAGGACTGTCACAGCTCCAAACCCTAGAAGCTCACTGCAGCACAGGGTAGAAGCTCTGTGTACCAGGCCTGGCTCCCAGGTCCAGGGGATGACTTCATGGTGACTCCGCACCCTTTACCCCTGGGGCACATGGACATGGGGACCGATGCCACGTGGCCCCTCTCGGCTGAGATGCCTGAGCATCAGGAGAGCTGAACCCGGTGGAATGTGAGGTGTGTTCTTAGTATTGGGAACACATAAGTTTACTTAAGTCTCAAAACCTTCCCACGAGGCAGACGATACAACCACCTCATTTTTGCAAGGAGGGGGGCTGCGGTACAGAGAGGTGAACGATTGCTCAGGGTCACAGGGCAGAGGCAGGACCTGGCTCCCCCAGCCAAGCCTTTAGCTACTTGTCAGCCTTTCATAGACACCTGGCAGGTCCTTGGTGAGAGAGGCGGCAAAACTACAATCATTGTTATGTCTACTTCACTGTCAGGCTCATGAAGGGACCTTGTGGTCAGAGTCAGAGGCGAGGCCAATGGTCAGAAGCCAAGCCGAGGAAGAGGGCGCCGGGGGGTGATTCCTGACACAGCCACGCCATGTCCGAGAGCTCCGAGCTGCTCGGTGCGGGGCAGGCAGCCTGGTGTACAGACTTAAGACAGGATAGGCAGTGTGCGTGTTCTCCTGTCCTCAACCTGCCCAGGTAGCCGAGGCTCCTGCCATCCGCGAGGTGTGCACAAAGCTGCCTGCTCGGACCCCCGCCAGTGGGGCTTGCTCTGAGCTCAGCCTCTGTGAACAGGGAGAGCCCCAGGCTCAGGTGAGAATAAGCAGCAATTATAATAAAACGCCCGGCCAGCCTGGGACGGGGATTCTGCAAAGGTGACAACAAACAGGGTCGGGATTTTCAGCCCGCAGGTTTACCGTGTGCATGTACACGCGCACATACACACACACACTCTCAATGTCCTCAAGGTCAACGCCCCACATTCTAGGTTGTGAAATGACCTGGCATATGGCAGATGGAGGGGGTGGGGGCGGCTGAGCCCTGCCCATCCCACAGGGGGGCTGCAGGGAGACGTGGATTTCGGGATGGGCCCCTCTGATGTTTTGCACGTTGTCTCCAGCTATAAAAAGCCGGAGTTCCTGATCTGGCCAGGAAGTGGTTAGAGGCGTGGGTTAGACTGATACTGCAAGACGGCTTAGAAAAATTTCCTCTCAAAGTACTTAGTTTTAATTGATCTTTCTGAAGAAAACCTTTTTCTTCATGGAAAATCGGTGGTTGAGCAAGCTGGCAGCTGGCTCAGCCCTCATGTTAAAGCACTTGGTTGGAGACGGGACTGGCGGGAGGGGTGTCGTGCAGAGCCAGGCAAAGAACAGGGGCTTTGGGGGCAGAAGGACCCAGTTCAAGCTACAGCCCTGCTGCCCCTGATGAAGTGACCGTGGGCACAGGCAGGTGACTGTGTCCAGGGCCTCGATGTTCTCATCTGGGAGTGGGAACAGTAAATGTACTCCCCGGTCATCGCGAGGACGCGGGGGAGATGGTGGGAGCCCGCTGCTCGGGGTGGGGGCGGAGCGCGTGCTGCTGTTGGTGGGTGGTGGGGTGCCCGGGCCCTGTGTGGGGTTCAGGGGGCCAGGGTCCTGTCAGCCGGCTGGGTCACGTCAGCAGTCCCTCAGCCCTGGGCCGGCAGCTTATCTAAATCTGAGCTAGCTATTAAATGGCAATGAGTTTCCGCTTGGTTTTCTTTTTTTTTAACTTTAAAAATAGTGTAGGGCAAAACCACAGTGCTGGCCACTGCTTTTTGTCCTGGAGCCTCTGAATGTGGTAAGGTGCCTTGACCTCAGTGAGCCACCTACTGAGGTGACCTGGGTGAGTCACCTCAGAGCCAGGAGTTGCTCTGTTTAAGCGCACGTACAGACACACACAGTCACAGACTGCAAGACACACACAGACACACTCAGAAACACAGTTACAGATGGACACACACTCATACAGACACGCAGACACACACGGACACGCAGGCACAGAGAGCAGCACACTCACATGCACTCAGAGACATGCAGCCACACACACACACACACACACACACACAGACTTTCTTGGAATGGACACCTCAGAGTGTCCCAGTCCCAGGAGGAACACTCACAGGCCGTCCATGAAGTAGCTGACCACGACAGGGAGGGGACGGCCTCTATGACAAGTGTGGTGGTCCCAGGAGGACCCACGTGTGGCTTTCTCATCGATGAGGGGACGGTGATGTTTGTCTTGTGGGGAAGGAAGGGCGTGTGGGAAGTCTGGTGCCCCTTGGGCGGCACGTGGAATCAAGAACTTAATCCATGCAGATCCCTTGCCACAGCGCCCCGCACAGAGACCTCCTACGAACGCAGTAATTATCACTGTGTAAAATTTTGTATCATGGCCTGAAGTGCCGTTCAATCAAACCCTCATTATGAACAAGGCTGACGGGCAGCCAGTCCCTTGCAATCTCCTTCCTGGACATGCACTCACACCCACGTCTGTGTGAAATGCAGACCATGCCCAGTGGGACACAGACACCAGTGGCCTCAAGGTGAGGCTCCTCAGCTCCAGGGCCAAGAGGGAGCCAGCCATCCCCGAGCCGGGAGAGCTCAGAGGGCGGCCGGGAGGAAACGGCTCTGGAGTACGACTCAAGTGGGCTTTGGTGGGGAGAAACGGTTGGAGAAAAGGAAAGAGGGTGGGCAGCTATGCCTGGGGGGGGGGGGGCTGGGACAGCAGGTGTGTGCAGGGACCCAATTACCCAGAGGAGCTGTATGGGGAGCGGCTCCTCCCACAAACCCCAGCTTCCCCAGAACAGGGGAGCCCATAATGTGTGAGTGAGGGCATGGTGAATGGATGATGGATGGACAGATAGCGTCATGGATGGATGGATGGATGGTGGATGGATGGATGGATCTATTAATCCTCCTGAGTGAAGAGAGGCGTTTGCACTGAGGGGCAGTGAGGGACACAGTTCAGAGGGCATTAGAGCTGGCCTAAGTTAGCAGTGCAATTAAGAGGGTGATAAACCCCAGAAGACAGGCGATGACAGGACAGTAGAGGCTCCTGAACAGGGTGTTACAGAAAGTATGTTTTTGGAACGTCACGGAGCCATTCGTCTTTGCATCCTCAGTGCTGAAATCGGTGCAGAGCCCTCGGGGGGCGCTCGGTGGGTGCCTGAGCACAGAAGGCCCCTGCAGATGACCTTGCAATGGCAGAGGCTGGGGGGTTATTCCTGTGCCCCCAGGCCTCACCCAGCACCCCCACAGAGCAGGCCTCACCAAACAGAGGTGGACGGAATCAAGCAGAAGTGAGTGGCTGGATGGGGGATGACTGGCTGGCTGAGTGGGGGTGACCAGGAGAGGGCATTGGGAGTAGGGGGCCTCGCAGAGACAAAGAGGAGAGCCTGGGCCCAGAGCGTCACTTCTGCTGCCCTGCACAGAGTCCTTCTGGAACCGGCCCAGACCCAGCAGATGGTCCCCAGGATATTGCAGACGGGTTGACCGGGGAGGTACTGCTGAGCAGCCCAGACTCGGAGAGGACTCTGAGCAGAGACGGGTCTTTCATAAACTACCACACGTCCACGTGAGTGTTAGTCGTCTCCAGCGTTTCCTACACTCATGGCTTACTCTCATTTGTAGCACTGACGTTCGTCTTAAAACTAGTTTGGGGCCCGAGCGCACACCCCCCTTCTCCTCCCGCTCCTCGCACTCTTCGGAATCAGCAGGTCCTGGGTTCACTCGGTGCAAGCTCAGGGGACCTGGATGAGAAACACAAAGG